GAGAAGAGAAGAGAAGAGAAGAGAAGAGAAGAGAAGAGAAGAGAAGAAAATAACAGAGTTGGAAGGGACCTTGGAGGTCTTCTAGTCCAACCCCCTGCTCAGACAGGAAACCCTATTCCATTTCAGACAAAGGGTTGTCCAATCTCTTCTTAAAAACTTTCAGTGTTGGAGCATTTACAACTTCTGGAGGAAATTTTTTCCACTGATTAATTGTTCTAACTAGCAGGAAATTTCTCCTAAGCTCTAGGTTGCTTTTCTCCTTGATTACTTTCCAATCACTGCTTCTTGTCCTGCCTTCAGGTGCTTTGGAGAATAGCTTGACCCCCTCCTTCTCTGTGGCAACCCCTGAGATATTGGAACACTGCTATCATGTCCCTCCTAGTCCTTCTTTTCACTAGACATACCCAATTCCAGCAACTGTTCTTTATATGTTTAGCCTTCAGTCCCCTGATCATCTTTGTTGCTCTTCTCTGCACTTGGGTATGTTAAACTTAAAGAAGGAAAGGCTAAAAGGAGACACTATAGAGTCTTCCAATACTGGGCCAACATCAAGGAGAATTTTCCATGGTATCTGATGACAGGACAAGAATCAATGTGTGGAAGCTTCTCCTTGTGAGAAACTTGGTAAACGTAAAGATGTCCCTGTTCAGTCACGTCCAACTCTAGGGCTTGTCTGAAGACATTTTCCATGGTCATGTGGCCAGCATGATTACATACCAAAGGCACACAGAATGCTGTTACCTTCCACCAAAGTGGTACCTATTTATCTACTCATATTTGCATGCTTTCGCACTGCTAGTTGGGCAGGAGCTGGAGCAGGAACAGGCACTCACTCCATTGCACAATGCTTGGGTCTCGAACCCAGACTGTCGGCTCTCAATCTGACAAGCTCAGCATCTTTAACCCCTGAGCCTCAACCAAGAATAAGGAGGGATTTTCTTGGCCATGAGAACACATCTGCCACACAATCTGCCTCCTGGATTAATGGCTGCTCCATTTGGTTTTCAAGCAAAGGTTGGACAGCCACTGGCCTGAAGATTCCTGTCCTAGGTGTGTGGGGGGTTGATCTAGAAGACTGTAGAATCATCCCTATGATTCTATGATAACAAGAAAGGGGCTTAATTACAACAACTGTGCTTAGTTCAGAAAAAAAGTGAAGATATAAGATAAGGCACTTCTTTTGTTTTCCACTTCTGGGTTGTTGTGCTATGGTGCCTCCTGTCAATCTTAGTTTTGACAGTGTTGTCCAAGAGTGTCTGGAGTAGAATCTAGGAATTAAATGAAAATTGCTTCCCTTTATCCTTCCCATTTGTTCCAATCAGAAGCAGCTATGGCTAGGGAAACATTTAGCAGCACATGGCACAGAAAGCAGCAAACTATGAAATGATCAACCCAACAATTATATCTTCATTCTCAAAGAAGGGAAAATAAATAAATGAGCCCTGCATACCATTTTAATCACTGAATACATGTAGAATGGATAGAAAATGAATTGCATCTCACTCAATTAACCACCTAGGCATTTCTAAGTCATGTGTCAGCCCTAATATGTGTCTATTCAAACCATAAACCAACACAAGTTATTCAAATGAGATGGATGCTCAAACGTTGGCTTGATTTGCCTAATGAACTCCAGATATGGAATCTGTAGTTGCTTGATGGGAAGCGGTTATAGGTAGTTCTCAAGCTACGACCGTAATGGAGCCTGTCCATTGCGGTCGTAAGTCGTGACAATCTTAAAGCGCATCATTCACATGACCAACAATATTTTTGCAGCAGTTGTTAAGGGAACATGGCGGTTATTAAACAAACCCATTGTTTACCCCAATCCTTGGGTTAGGATTCTTTGAGGGTCATTTTCATGTCTGTTTGCCTGCCTATTGCAAGAAAAGCCTGTGTCCGGTGGGACTGGAAACCATATTGCTGAAGCTTTCTAGGGAGGAATGCATTAATATTAAGAGCACATCATGTCAATTCTGTTGATTTTCAGAACAAAACCAGAGCAACCCACCTTTTAGAATAAAACCAGAATCAGAAATGGTCTTTTGCTGGGTTTTCCAGATGTTGAAAAGCCGTAAAAATACAGCCACGTACAAATCGTTGAGCACTGCAATGACCTGCTGCCTTCGATTGCATTCTCTGAAAAAGACACATTACAAAATATTTACATCCACCACCACCTCCCTATCAGCAGGACACACTCCAAAGCAGGGGTGGGATTCAACCGGTGATTATGTTTTGCGCGTGCATGCACACTGTGCACGCATGTAATACACCTAAAGCTGTGCCACCCGGACAGCTGATAAGTGCTGTGCACAGGTGTGCAGCGTTTGAAAAAGCACTTTTTTTCTTGCTTTTTCAACCTCAGCTGTGCCGCGCAAAGCAGCTGAGGTTGAAAAACCAGGAAATAAAGGTCAGGTAAGAGCCCAGGCAGGTGGGTGGGCCAAACAGCAGCAGACAGAGAACCGGTTCTGTGTCTGCTGCTCTTCAGAGCTACCGATTCTATAGAGCCGGGCAGAACCGGTAGCATCCCACCCCTGCTCCAAAGGCTTAATCTTCCTTGAGCTGTTTGGGTTCTTCTTTCTTTTTCTGAAATATACTTTGTCCTTTAGAAAGTCCCTTCAGGCCTGTTGCCCATAGATGGCGTTGTTTGGCTACGTAAGAATTCACATTTGCTTCACTGAGTACGAGATGTGGAAAATACATAGGCAGAGGGTTATTTTTAAGAGCAGGAAGACTTAAAGGATAGACTTGTACTCTAAACAAATGATAAGAGATCATTTTCCTTTGGGCTGTCAGCTGGTTTAAGAATCCTTTTACTGATAATAAATTAAATAAGTTATCCTATGGTCACACAATCAAAATCCAGATGTTTGACAACTGATTCATATTTATGACGGCTGATGTGTCCCAGAGGTCATGTGATCCCCTTTTGGGACCTTCTGACTAGCAAAATCAGTGGGGAAGCCAGTTTCACTTAACAGTCCCATTACTAACCTAACAAATGCAATAATTCACTTAACAGCTGTGGCAAGAAAGGTTGTTAAATGGGGTACACTCATTTAACAAATGCTTCACTTAGCAACATAAATTTTGGGCTCAATTGTGGTCGTAATTCAAGGCCTGCCTGTATTTTAACAACTTAGCTGAAGGATCAATGCACTGAACGCTCACAAAGGCACAGAGAGATCCATGACTATGGCATGCATGATGCTGATATAATATCTGATATCATTACATTAAAAGCTCTGGTTACATACAAGTATTGTGGCACAGTATGACATGTCACAGGCATGACATCATCATATGTCCCATCAACGCCTCTGCAAATATCCAAAACCCATGATGAGCTCACCTGGAAAGGCGTTCTTCCCTCAAAACCTGAATGACAATACGGGTAATATTGATAGACATCACACAGAAAGGAAAATTCTGGAAAAGAAACAAAAGCTACATTTTAAAAAGTGCCCTGCCTATAACAGACTCAAAACTCAATTCCTTTGGCTTTACTAGAGATAAAAAAACAACAACAGCTAGCATGTTTCAGATCAGTGTTTATCGAACTTGGCAAGTTTAAGCTGGGTGGATTTCAACTCCCAGAATTCCATCCAGCTTCAACTTGCCAAGTCTGAAAAACATGGTTTTAAATGATCAGCCTGAAAGGTTTTGTTCTCAATATGTACATAACAGCTGCTCTTTAAAAAGAAAATCTGCACAGAGCAGAGAAAAATGAGGCAATATACCTGAACCTCATGATGGGACAACTTAAAAATTTCTCGCGCTACAGGTAATATCCGGGAATCCATCACAAAATAAAGTGTTTGCATCAATCCTAGCAGCCCTGCTCCACGTAGGTCTGTGCTGGGATCCATTCCTAAAGGGTAGAAGATACACAGAGGCTGTCACACCAAGAAATGGTCTTGCATGTATTAAGCAAACTTCCAGACAGTAAATTGCTCAGACACTTAAGGCAATGCTGGAATTAAAGTTGTATAATGAAAACTTTGTGCTCTTCCTCACGAGTTGGTAATGAAATACAGCTGCAAAAACTGGACCCAGCTGTAGAAATTGCCTATTAATTATTCTATAAAGCTATAAGAGAGCAAGAGTTAGTGTGCTGTAAGAAGATAGCTTGCATGTATGTATGGGATGATTTGCGGGTTGTGTTTAGTTTAAATGTTTTTGTTCAGATAAGTAGGTTGATAGGTAGGAAGTAAGGGAGATGCAAAACTTGCTTACCTATCCAGCAGGGAGATTCAAACAGTGATTTTGGAGGTGAGTAAGAGGGGAAATCAGCAAATCTGCATTCCCTAACACTCCTACAAATGCTCTGGTGACCACTTGCACTGGCCCTCTTGAAATCTATGCGCTGAAGGGGAACAAATCAATGTTGTGATGTTGGTGCACAAAAAAAAAGCATAGTGTGAGGGTTCTAGATAACTTCAAATGGCCAGCAGGTGCACTCTTTGTTCCAAAGTCCATGAACGAGAGTGAAACAAGGCTCCCCCTGTATATATTTGCTCATGCAAAGACTCTTGTTCTACACTCAGCGTACCTTGAAATCCAAGATCTTCCCAGTGGGCTCCATAGCGGGCACAATCAAATCGGGAGCCAGTTAGTTTCTTGTAAACAGTTTGCAAGATCCTCATGTGCACTTTTTCATTATTATCCAAACCACCTGTACAGGGAAAGGCCCATTAAGTCCTCTACGTAAGTGAGCACAAGATAGTTGACCTATCACTTTGTTGTTTCTATGTACACTGAAAGCCTATGCACCCGAGACAAATTCCTTGTGTGTCCAATCACACTTGGCTAATAAAGAATTCTGTCCTGTCCTGTCCTGTTTTTCTATCCTATCCTATCCTATCCTATCCTATCCTATCCTATCCTATCCT